TAACAATTCTTTTTCTACTAATTTATTCTAGAAACCTAAATAATTAAAGAAAATTTGCTACGCATTCTAATAATTTCTACATTAATAACCAAATCTTTTATTTTATTTATTAATTTTTGTATTATAAATCATGTAGTGTAGTATTTTTCTTACAATTGTCAATAATACATTTTAAATTAGATGATATTATAAAATATTTGGGATTTGTTATTATTTATATAATAAAATAATTATAAAATATTGTTGGTATATAATATTATAGTTAGTTAGGTTGTAATAATTTGGGTTTTTTAGCGAATTAGGGTTTTCCGCCAATTCGAGATTTTAGGGGCCAAATTTTCATCGATTTAGTCAACTATTTATTGTAGTCCATATATGATTATATAATTAATCCATGATAATTCTATGATTTCTTTTGTGTGATGTAAATTTAATGGTCAACATAAGTCCATACAGGGAAAGAACATCTCAATATTCATAAATTGATGAAAACAATGAAAGGTAATAATGTAGTACCCCTATTTCTTATTGGATTCCTAAAAAACAACATTTATAATGAATTTTCATAATTTTTTTGAATTTTTTTAAGGCTTAATCCGAGCGATTCAACCTGATTCCCGATCCGGATCGCCATTCGCCGATCTGGATCGGTCTTTGGGATGCCTGATCAGGGTCACCGATCCGTTTTTTAAACCACTGGTTTGGCGTGAACTGCTGGAAATTGTGGTCTACCTCTATTCTAGAATCTAGACCACCCTAGGCTTCTCAGCCCCTTGGTGTTTCTTGTCCAAATCCCTTGGATTGAGAAATCAATTAAGGGAAATATCCTACTTCAAAAACCAGACAGGCTAGGCGAACCAGCCTTCTAGAAATCCAATTGGGATCTCGGGTTGGCAAATCAAACCGATTCTCAGATGTGAGAATCGGTCCCAAACGAAAACAAAAATAAACAAATAAATAACAAATTTAATTTTTGAAATAAATAACTGAAAAGCAATAATAAAATAAAATGGGGAGACCAGGCAATTGGGTGGTCTAGATCACTCGGTTCTTTGACAGACTCGCTTGAACCAAGCAAGTCTATGGGAATTGGACCAATTCATGTTTCTAACTAGGAACAGGGTCGGTCGCCATCGATTCCTAGTTCAGATCGGCGATTCTCAATCCGGATCGGCAATTTTGAAACACTGATCAATACCAAGAAGACTCATGGCATCAAGGAGAACAAAAGCCCCAAGGTTCCTTCTTGATCAAAGTTCACATGTGTTTACATGCTGATCCTATGTGCCCCAACTCGGATTTTGAATCCATAATTCAACCTTCCTTGATTCAAAACTATAGACAATCTTTAGAAACCCTTATACGGTTCAAATCTGGTTTCGTGGGTCTAGATCTACGTTTCCTCAATGCGAAGAATTTCACAGCTTCTCAAGTCTCCAAACTAATGTTTGAAGACTTCATGCTTTGGATTCAAGACTCAACAGAATCGATTTGACTAGGCTAATCCTGATCACTTTTAACGAAAAAAAAAAGAGCTAACAATGAATGGATTCGATGACTCTAAATCTGTTAAGGTTCGCATGATTTTTAAAGATGTTACTTAACTAAAATTGATATTATTGTTCATTAAATTATAGGGGATATTGTATATTATCTTGTACTAATACATGTTGCAGGGTGCCAAGGTCTAAATCATGGTATGTATTTCAATGAATGCAATATTGAGATTTATTTTTTGCATATTTGAAACAGGCGGAAAAAAATTTAGAAAAGCTAGAAAAGTGAGACATGTCCAGTAAAAAATGAACAATTCTAAAAGAGTTAGGAGTACATCACTTTCTTCCTGATCTTTTACTTGCAGATTGAATTATTTCTTTTGTATCCTAAGGAAGTTTCTCTTAAAAAGGCTGTTATGACAATAAAATGTCTTAGCATTGTGAAATAGTTGTTGAATTTCAAGTTCTATTTTTGTTTGGTTCTACAAGATAGGCTAAACTAACATGTCATCAGGTTACTTGCCATAATGACGGCCACTGTTCTAATGCGCAACAGCATTGTTTCTGCAAATTTTCATAACTAATTGCCCTTTATTTAGTTAAAACCCATAATACATGTCAAGCAATATAAAGACACTTGAAAAATACACCAGAAGAAAAAACGAGATGCATGTAGTGGGAAGTGGTTCATGGTATTTTTCATAGGGTGGTTTTAATGCAGCCTCAGGCCCCTATGCCGTCCTATAAAAACTGATGGCAGAGATGCGCTTATACCAAGTCAGTGTTTGTGCATCTTGCACCTTCTGATAGCAGAGGGCAAAAACGGCTGCCAGTGCATGCGGCCACTACCACAGCTACATATAAGCATTTTCCTTTTAAAGTCCTATAACCCAGGTGATCAAGCAAGTTAAAATTATTGGGCATGTCCAAAAAAAAAAAAGGAAAAACTATTACGTCAATAATCCAATATATGATTCAACACATGTGAATAGGGTGGAGTTCTACGCCAAATAACATCCGCAACATCTACATAGAGTGTGATGAAGTTTTTCATTATGAATGATCTTGTCTAAATCGGCATTTTTGAAACACGAAACAGTAGATGAAGCATTAAAGATAACTGTACTCTGGTGAAATAGGGTATCTTACTTGCTCATGACCTCTGATTCTTAGATGTCCCCGTAGTAGTTCACGTTTGTAGTGGCAATCACCGCTCAGATGACCTGCACGAATCTGATACCAAAATATAAGCCATCATAAAAAGATGAAATTACAAGATTTTCAAGATGAAACCAACCACCAAAGGAGAAAAGTAATGCACATTATTTGAAGTAAACTAAAACAAATTATACAAAACAATATCAGGAAAGGTGAAGTTGAAATCAACCAAGCTAATGGAAAGTTCAACACTCAGTATACAGTTTAAGTTTATTACGTTACCTCACTGCAGGCATGATGTGCGCAATTTGCCCAGTCCAAGTTTGCAGCCCGACAGTCATCATATGCATGTATTAGTTCATGGATAACAACTTGGTCTACTTCATCTTGCATGTTCATATGATTACTACAAACCAAAATCTGGTACAAAAGTAAGGAACTCATAAATCAGTGTCATCACTAAATGATTTTTGAAATATATTGCAAAGGTTAAAACAGGATGTGGTATATTGACACTGACAAAAGCAGGATTAAACTTTTGAGCATTCATTTTTAATGACGCATTGAAATTTATAAAACTACAAGAACCAGTAAATTGAGAAACAGTGAGCCCGATTTTCTTCTTACAGATTAGTTCAAATATACAATCAACCACAGGGAAATCCTAGAGCAAAGAGAGCTCCATTTGCATTGAATCAACAAACAGGAAAATGCAAGAATTCGTCATCCATGAATAATGTGATTTCATGCAGGTAAAGAAGAACCAAAATTACACAAGAGCATTACTTTTGTGCAATGGACTTTTCCTGACGGTGATTACCCTAAATAAGATAAATGCAAGAGATTAATAGTGACAGAGGATTCAGGCAGTCTACATCCAAACAAAAGTATCATTCCAGTCAAGAAATCTGATTGAAGTAACTAGGAATTCCGAATCATCTCTTGCAAACCCATTAGCATGTGATTCCAAGAGGTTCTAGAGTGCCCCGAGGTCAAAATTTTGTTTGCAGTTCTAAGAACTTTAGAACCAAGAAACCCTAGATCCTTGGATCTTTTATTCCCAATAATATGTTCATTTAGGTGCATGGGGACCATTTGCTCCACTTAAGGCCAATTTTTGGTAATATGACCTTATGTTATCTTCCTTGCACAACATATCTTTCGCAATCAAACTCTGATGTCTGTCATATCATCATAATCTTCCATGAAAGTGTGCATATCCATGCAACTTTCAATTTCCTTTAGGGCAAAGTTTCATTTAGCAATAAAAATACTGCTAAAACAAGATGGTAGGATTACTGCATTGTACAAAAAAATAAACGGCTCTTAGTTTTTTTTTAGTTTTTTTTTAGAAAATTTGATTGTTGGGGTAAGACATGGAGTCTGAGAATTTTTTTTTTGGAACTTTGTGTCTAATTAATGACACTCTTACAACCACCCATTTTGAAATCGAAGGGACAAGAATAATTGCGAATTCCTTGTACAAAAGGTAAATGGTTTCTTTGTAGACAATCCTACACAAGAAACACGAAGAGAATAAGAAAGAGGATGACAAAGTAACATCTAAATGACATCCATTGAAGCTCTCACTCTTCTACAGGGCAGTATTTCATCATCCTTATTTCTCAAAGCATCTGCCTCGTTGTTAGCTCCCGTAAAAATGTGAAGTACCTGCTCATAGTTTTTACAGGCTACAGCTTTCTCTAATTGCAATGAGAAAACACTTGAGCAAGTATATCCTCGCACTCCACAACTAAATGAAGTTGCTGAAAGTAAACTTGGACGTGACATAAACTTCAATTGTATGTTCTTTTCCCAAGTTCCATGGGGTTTATTAAACGAAAGCACCATACTGAAGTCTTTATGAAGCCTGTGATCTATCTCATTACTCTTTTAGGTAGTTCAGTGCTAGGATTCAAACTTGGGACGTAATGTTGCACTGTCAACAACCAATCAAGCCCAAGCCTGACTGTTATATATATGGATAGTTCAGCAGTAGGACTTAAATTTGCACATGGATATGATCTATCCCATTGTCAAACCCCTAGTTGCATTGTTAATTAAATGGAGTAAAAAACCTCCCCATATTTTGTTGGAATCTGAGTCATTTGCAAAACTAAGAAATGAGCAGGCAAATAACATTGAATTCCAAGTGTCTAGATGTACTTGTTTCGATCTGCTACCTTCCAGGGAAGAGAGATGCATATCAATTCAAATAGTACAATATTGCAATGTATAAAACATATTAGCCCTATTATCATATGCACAAAGTAGAGAAAAACTAGTTTAAAACACTGGTCATTGTCGGCATTCAAAGAAAGACAATGCTCATTTTCACTACAAGGGAGGTAACAATGTAGCAAGTGCAATTTATGTTAGTAATCAATTTACATGTGATATAAAGCTATCTCATTTCCTGAGTTAAGGTGACACAGCAATTTAATACTTTGCAAGCTAAGATAAATAACAACTTTCTATCCTTAGAGCTAAACCATCATCCATAGAAGGTTTCTATGAAATGGCCTAGGACACAGGCTTTGACTATGCTCTACACTCATTTTCCCTAATGTATCTATCAGTGTTATCAATATCAGAATGAACCAGCCGATCCAATCCAATCGGTGCCTTGGCCAGTCTGAGCCAAAGCAAAAACTGTGTTTGGCAAAAACTAGTCAAAACTAATATTTGACCTATTTTAACTAGTTGATAGGGTAGTTTGGAACAGCTAGACCGGCTAAACAAGTTTGGAAACTTTTTTTAATATATTCCACATTTTTAATTTAAATTTCTTATGTTTCTTTATTTTCTTAAAATCTAGTCCAACTGGCTGTCGAACCGATTTTGACTCGACCAAACCCCACCTATTTGGTGGCTGGTCCAGTTCTGATAACATTGGTTTCTAGACTTTGGTAAGTAATTATTAAATGGGAATTGTCTATAAAGAGACCATTTATCTTTTGTACAAAAAGGTCACAACTATTTTCACTCATCAAATGTCAAATTGGATGGCTTGGGATGAGTCACAAAGTCCGAGATGTCCAATCAATGACACTCTTACAACCACCCCGTTTGAAATCTAAGGGACAAGAATGATTATGACCTCCTTATAGAAAAGGTAAATGGTATCTTTATACCCTTATTAAATACACTCCAGGAATTTCTCCTTGCTAATGAAGGCATTCCTCCAGTCAACCTTTTTCAAAAAAGAATGAGGGCATTCCTCTCACAAATCAAGACGCAACAAAATTCAGAACGTCTTAGTGACTCTATAGTTTGAACAGGTAGAGTAGAATCCAACCAAAAGGAGTAAGAATGCTCTCACCACCAACTAATCACATTGAGCAAGTCCATTTTTACAATGACAAATGGGTCTCAATAAAAATCATCAAATTCCCCATCAAAGCAAAAGTATCCACACATAGTAGCATCAGTAACTCATCCCACAAAACGTATGATAATCTCTCATTATGAAAAAAACTCCTTAACTTTTCATTTCCCCTGATTTCTCACAATAAAAGCGCAATTCCTTAGGCCTAGTTACGCACTGTCGTTGCCAGCTCCAAATATACTGAAACCCAATTCCTTCAAAAAACAATAAGCCTGAAAATCATAACCCCACATTTTTTCTCGAAAGAAATCATCAAGTGAAAAGTTTTTCCTTTTATCATATCAAATAACTAATTAAAAAATTAACGCTGCAGCAACTCATATATCTAAGAACTCTATGCCCAAGCAAGTATCTTGATCGTATTCAAATAACATTTGAGTATGGAAAGTAACGGAAATACACACCCCATCTCCACGAACATAGCCACCACTTATCTGCTTATCGCACTCGACAGCCTTCACAAAATCCTCACCAATTCGGCAACCCGCTTTCTCCAAGTTCTCCTTTAGGAATTTCACAGTGGGGCCTACAGAGAGAGATCTTGTAAGCAACCTCTCGAAATCGAAAAAGAACAGAGATCAGGGAAGGAAAAATTGAAAAGGCTTACTTCTGAAACTTCTACGGATCATGTCTTGGCATTCTTCAATTGTTTTCCCTCTGTCAGGATATAGTGAAGAGAATTGACGAGGCGTCTTATTCACTGTTTCAGTCGCTTCCGCCATTTTAGCTCAGAGATGAAGGCTATTAACTTTATTTGTCACTGCTTCGAAAGCTTAGAGAGAGAATGAGTAAAATGAGAGAAAAAATCGAAAAGCTCAGAGAATAATGGCAGCAAATCTACAAGCGCTTAAAGGGATTTGCAGGCCGCGACATTGCCCATTTGAGCTCAATTCTCTGTCCAAAATTTCACCCCTCTCTGTCTAAGCTTCCATCGTTTCTCTCTAACACGACCTCCTTATACGCTCTCTCGTCATATACATTGGAAGTCCCAAGTTCAACGGTTGGTTTTCTTTTTCCTATGTAGACCTAGGCTTCACGAAAATAAAATACACTCTCAACTTGAATCCTAGCTCGAAAAGTACTTTTGGGACTTGGGTCTCAAAAATACATACGCTAGTTTTAAAATCAATTTTCAACATTGCAATGAAATTTGAAATTTGAAGCTAAAAAAAATGTATTGATCGTTTCAATCCATACGCACTTATGTTTACATGGTATATTGTTTTTATGATTTGAAATTCTAAGTTTTTTCACTGACCATAATACGTTGAGGCTGAGATGATCGATTTGAAGGTTTTTTTATGTTATAATTGTAATTTTTGGTGAATTTTGACTTATTTTTATAGGGTTGCAATGCTATTAAAAAAAATTTCTTATATTTTTACGCAATTGCACGTTCTAAAACAGTGTTGTCAAATTCACTTTGCTTCGGCCAAAGACTTTGGATTTTAGGCCTAGACCGAAGTGAAACAAAACCTGATATTGCCGCTTCGATCATATTCGAACAACTTTGATTAGATTCAAGTGTACTTCAGCCTCTTCATCCTAAGCAAATAAATATTTATATAAAAAAATTATTATTTTTAAAATATTTATATATAACTATCTAATTTATATATATATATATAGATTTATTTTTTTTTGAAAAAAAAGTCTCAAGTCTTCCCCCAAATCGGCCGACCTCTTCCCAACCACTCAGAGGTCTATAAAAGGACCTAAGTCCAAGCTATTGATGCTTGGACACAAAAAAAATTGCTTAGACTCCATTTAGTTTAGCCATTCAATGAGTGAAGTGAGCCACTTGATAAAATTTAGGAGATGTAATAACCATGAACTCCATCATGAAGACCCATATTTCAGCCTCCAAATGGTAGATCTGAAAAACCTTGATTAGGAAACTTAGTAATCTTATTTCAACCAATGTTACGGCTTGGTCATTTATGAAAAGAAAGAAGAGGACAAACGATGTAAAGTGAAGCCGCGGTCCTGATACGGGCAAAGCTTCAAGCTTCGGGTGTCCCGACCAACTGGCCTGGGCAGGTAAGTTTATCTTTTCCCCATTTTCAGTTTTCTTAGTTAGATCTTAAATTAATTGCATTTCCTTACGTATTTTAGTGCATAAGTCATATCGGCCCTACCGATGATATAAAAGGAGATTTGTTCATGGGTATAAATCAACTCTTAGATCATAATCCGATCGATTCCTGCAACTCATCTACTATTTCCAATTAAGGAGTTTATAGTGTCAAAGGGGATTTTCACTTGAAAATCTCTCAAAATTGCGCTGTAAGTAGTACGTGTTGGGCTTGTTTGTGTGTACTGAATGTCACTAATAATCCGCTGCTTTAATATACCAATCATCTTTTTCAAGGTTTAAAAACCGTCAGGTCGAGTTAAAATCATTTTATTTGACTTGGGAATCGATGGAACCGGTTTGGTATCCAACATCTATTGAGAAACTAACTGGTTTCCAGTTCTGTTAAGGAACTAGCAGATCTAGCCCCACCCTTCTTTTTTCATTTTTTTTTCATTTTTTGTTTTTTCATTTTAAAATTCGTTGGCTCGGTTCTCTTAACCGGATTGCCATCCATTGATTCAAACCAGGTTTTCGGACTAGCGATTCGAGTCATTGAGCCATGTTTCTAAACCTTGTTTGTAATGAATATTTGTTGCTTAGAAGTGTTGTTTATAAAATTATTTAATTTAAGCTCGTAGGTAGTTTAGCGTATAAATTTATCTTTCATAAAAGCTATTTAAAAATCATAAGTTTTTAGCCATAAATAACTAAACATAATTGAAATTCACAATAACAGTTTAATGATCAAGTAATATTATAAACATAATTGAAATTCACAATAACAGTTTAATGATCAAGTAATGTTATAAACATAATTGAAATTCAAAATAACAGTTTAATGATCAAGTACTGTTACGTAAGGAAATTTCTGCTAGTATCCTCTATTTCTTTTAAAAAATCTATACCCATTATATTCATCACCATATTTTTGGTTAGTATTATTTTTTTCCCAAAACACCATTAATTCAAAATTTCAAAATACAAATTGAACCTATTGGTAAAATGGTTCATAAATTGAATTTCTGAATTGGGTTTTTTAGCAACAACCGATTCGGATTTTGAAATTCCAAGCTGATTTATTGAGTTTGGGTCTCCGAATTTCAAATTTTGAACCCCCTTCCTCACTCGATCCCTCGTCCCAAACTCAAATCAGGTTAGATTCTCAAAATCTAAACCGATTTGGAATTTCAATCTCTAATCTATTTTCTTAATAGTTTTGGTTTGGATTTTAAAAGCCACAACCGAGACATAATAACGGGCGACATAATTTATCATTATCATAAACAAATACTGTAGTTTTAGGATTCATGATGAGTTTTGGTAAAATTTTATGTTGGCTGCCTACATAACCCAACCTTTTTACCCAATCATAGGACGAGTTAAGGGAGAGTTTAAGGTCATAAACAAGTCCACAAACACTTATACCCATGAAGAAATTCCAACTTTAATATGGATTAGTTATGCACTTGGAAAATACGACTCGCCATGACTTGTAGTTCTGAATCATTTAAGGAATTGTTATAGCAATATCGCAAACGGACTGATGATTTCTATAGTAGGAATCACCATCCGTACAATGCATATCACATGAGGTAATATTCATACTATTAGTATTGTGCTCCAATTCAATATGAATTGAGATTCCTACTTGTTACAATCACGCTTTATGGAATCTAGATTCCAAACTTACAGGAATGAATAAATTTTAAATGGTGGGCGACATAGATGAATATCAATTAGTTGAAGCGGAATATAAATATCAATTAGTTGAAGAGGACTACACAGTAGAGATCTAAAATCAAGGTAAACATACCATGCTACATGCATTTATGGGTTCCCAATAATGTATTCTATGATCCATATGAACATGAAAAACCTACCTTCATAAGGGCAATCGCCCAATGTGACAATGATGTAACGAAAAGTTTATAGAGGTCACACTAATTTTTAAATCGCCATCCATCTATGATCTAGTCATCAGGCAGCAATGCAAACATATGACCATAGATTTCATATGGTCATATGGAGCACAACATACCTTTATTTGACATAAAATTTATTAAAATACACTTGATAGATCAGCTGTTCAACATTTTATGGATATATTTTAATTTAATTTTAACATACCCATCAAAATATGCAAAGTTATGGAATAGCTGAAAAAAGATAGGCGGATAGATAGGCGGATAAATTGTTGAAACATCAAGTACATTTTGTTAAGGGGTAGTACTATCTGTGAACACAAGTACCTTTCAACCGTTCATATCGAACTTAACCTCATTGAAGGACTACAAAATAATTTTAATTTTATTTTTAATTTATTTAAAAAGTATATTTCTTAAATTTAGGAGATAAATTAATCAAGGTGAACTAAATAAACATAAAAATTAATTTCCCTTAAAAAACATTGACCAAAATATATTTAGAAGCATTTTTAATATTATTTATTTAAAATATTAATCAAAATTATATTTCAGCCGTTACATATAGCCTTATTTAATCCAAACCATTTATTTTGCTAACTCCATGGATTCTCTCTGGTTTAATAAAGGATGAAATTATCTTTAAGAGAAAAGCCATGGGTAAAGTGTCATTTTCCAAAATGATTAATCTAGATTATGGGTTATCACTCTAGATAGGAAACAGTAGAGGATGAGGTTACTACAAGGTCTAGGCTTTATGAAAACAAAATCAAGCCTCAAATTAAATCTTCATCCGAAAAAACACTTTCCGAATGCTTACGATAGCTTTAAAATTAATTTTTAATATTGACAATGAAATCTTAAACTAATAATTAATGCAAATCTTGTAGATATATGAACATTTATTTTTAGGGTGAAATAAATTATCTAAATAATTTGTTATACATCGTTTTTAGAGTTTAAAATTCTATTTTGTTTTTTCAATCATAATGTTCTAGTCAAAATAATTGATATAAAAGTTTTCTAGTCAAAATAATTGATGTAAAAGTTTTTTAATGCTTAAATTGTAATTTTCAACAAGCTATGAGTGAGGCTATATTTATTATTATAAGGCTGCACCCTACCAAACCATTTTCCAACTGTAAAATACTCTTATTTCTCGTGGAAATGGTTCACGCATCAGGTGGACAAGGCGGCTAGAGACACTGTACCAGAGAGCAGAGGAGCCGGAGAGAGAAGAAACCCTAAAAATGGAGGCCTTTTAGCCATTAGTAAACTATCCTTATCCTCTGCAAGACCAATCAAAGCGCTGTTTTTCTTCTTCTATAGACGTGTTTGCAAATCCATCGAACCCTAATCCTAACCCTAACCCTAACCCTAATTTGTTTCAGTTTTCATAGCCCTAATCTGTTTTTCCCTGTGTCTCCAGAAGGTGGAACCGTGATTTTTTTAACCTCTATGTGTTGTTCCTTGTTTCCTTCTTTCCTCTCCTGCTCTTGAAATCGGGGTTTCATGGATCCACCTCGGCCTTCACCTGGAGGTATGGTTATTGTTCCCTGAAGACCCTAATCTGATTTGTAAGTTTGTTCCTCTGCTTTCTCTCTCTGTTATACCTGCTCGAGATTAGAGTTTAATGGATCCAATGGCTGAAGAACAATTAGACTACGAGGATGAGGACTATGGAGCGAACCAGAAGATGCCGTTTCAAACAGGAGGAGCCATTTCTGCTTTGGCAGATGAGGAACTCATGGGAGAAGACGATGAATACGATGATCTCTATAATGATGTTAATGTTGGCGATGGTTTCATGCAATCTCTACAGCATCAAGAGCCAGTCCAGTATGAATCAATGGGCAATGGCGTCCAAGCTCCAAAAGAAGAACCCATTTCCACACCACCAGTGAATATACCTGGTGTTGGCCATGAAGAGAAGGGGGAAAAGGACGCTAAGCTCTCTGGTTTCTCAGATCTGGACCAGAAGAAGGCTTTTCAGGAGCAGGCCTCAAATCAACTGGCTGGGGCTTCGAGTGGTCTGAAGATCAGGGTTTCAGAACCAGTTTCGGAGCCTCAACCACAGGCTTCGGGGTTTCGAAATGCGCCTGCACCTCCTGCCAAGGGGTCTGGATTCAATACAGCTGGTGCTATGGATGCCAATAAACAATTAGCGCAAACTTCCTCCAATGCTGTGCCCAGAGTTGGGCCTGGCCCTGGTCCTGGGATTGGGGCAGGGCCTAATGCCAACATGAACAGAATGATGGGCCCAGGTCCAAACCAAGCAGGGGCAGTTATCGATACCTCGGCAAGGTTCGGTTCCGAAAATTCGAACAGGTTGAGCCATGGAGGAGGGGAAAGTGGCAATACGATGCTCTTTGTCGGTGAGCTCCAATGGTGGACCACTGATGCAGAGCTTGAGAGTGTGCTTTCTCAGTATGGTCGGGTAAAAGACCTCAAATTCTTTGATGAAAGGGCAAGTGGCAAATCGAAAGGCTATTGCCAAGTCGAATTCTATGATCCAGCTGCTGCAGCTGCTTGCAAAGAGAGCATGAATGGTCATGTATTCAATGGTAGAGCCTGTGTTGTGGCCTTTGCTTCTCAACATACTCTAAAGCAGTTGACTACAAACTATTTGAACAAAACCCAGGCGCAAGCCCAAGCCCAATCCCAAGGTAGGAGGCCCATGAATGATGGGGGTGGTCGAGCCGGTGGGCCTTCTTATCAGGGTGGCGATAGGAACTATGGGAACAAGATGGGTTGGGGTCGAGGAAACCAAGGAGTACCAAACCGGGGCCAAGGGCCCGCTGGGCTCAGGGGAAGGCCTGGCGGACTTACTGGTAAAGCAATGGTTGGAGGACCAAGTGGGGCAAATCCATACGGTCAAGCTCTTTCAGCCCCACCTCTTGGGGGGCCACCTGGTGGGCTTCTACACCCACAAGGAATGATGGGTTCAGGTTTTGACCCCACATATGGTGCCCACTTGGGTAGAGGAAGTGGCTATGGTGGTTTTTCAGGCCCCCATTTTCCAGGCATGTTGCCATCCTTCTCGCCTATGGGCACCGTGGGGTTACCTGGAGTTGCCCCCCATGTCAACCCTGCATTTTTTGGACGCGGTGTCTCAGCAAATGGGATGGGTATGATGGGAAGCGGGGCCATGGATGGGCATCATGGGGGCATGTGGGGTGATTCAAGCATGGGTGGTGGGGTTGGTTGGGGGAACGAGGAGCATGGACGTAGAACTCGAGAATCAAGTTATGGGGACGATGGGGCATCAGACTATGGGTATGGTGATGGTGGTCATGAGAGAGGAGGGGGAAGGTCGAATCCAGGGAGAGAGAAGGATAGGGGGTCAGAGCGTGATTGGTCCAGTGGTCCTGAGAGGAGGCATAGGGATGATAGGGATTCAGATTGGGATAGGGATCCGCGTTACAAGGATGAAAAGGATGGGTATTCAGACCATAGGCAGAGGGAGAGAGACTGGGATAATGAAGATGATTGGGACAGGGGGAGGACATCGTCGAGGTCTAGGAGCAAGTCGCGTATGATGCAGGAGGAGGATCAGAGGTCACGGTCAAAGGATGTGGATTATGGGAAGAGGCGGCGGGTCCCATCAGAGTGATATTATGAATTCGGTGTTTTGATTTCGAGCAAGTGTTTTGACATAGAACGATGGTGCCATCATAATTTGATCAGGATTTATGGTGTTGGATTTGGCAGGATTAGATGGCTGGACAATCTTTGGAGTGTCGTGCTGACTGATTATCAATCAGTCGTATAGCATGGCCTTGCTGTCGCTGCCATAAGAACCATTTCTCTTGTTGGTATCCTTTTAGGGTGCAGACATGAGTTTGGCTTCATGACACCGAAGTAAGTTTCTATTGTGTGGCATAAGAGAGATGGTTGCCGTCTCTCCCTATATTTGCTTTTATTTTCTTTCTTTCTTTTTTTTTCCTTTTTTTCCTTTTCTGAATTTCATTAACTATGACGTTGACACTTTGGTTAAGAAACTTGTTAGCTTTTAGTAGTAACTGATATGATCCATGGGGATGCATTCTCTTTTTACTTTTTTGTTTCATAGAATACATTTGCTGAGGTTTGTTATAGTTTTGACATACTGTTGACTAAATTAATTACTGTATCCTAGGTCTATTGTGATGCATTGTTGTGTGTATATTGCTATATATATTTGTGGTGACTTCTGTTTTAAAAAATTGTTCAAATCCGCATGACTAACATCTTGTTTCTAATAGAAAGTTTATGTTAGATAATTCTGAGTTTGATAGATTATGGTGTTGCCATTTAAGTTTCTTTGACCATCTTGCCTTGCATAGGGACTTATGTTAACTCATAGATGATATGACTATGCCTGATTGTGTCATTAGGAGGATTTTATCACGTAGGGTTGTTTTTAAGCACAGTAACCAGTACCACCATGTCTTATGTGAGTCTATAAAATATGATGCATTTTGGCATAGTATTACGTACCTTTGTACCGTCCATAATATGTGTCGTTTTGCCTGCTAAAGCCAGGGGGATTTGTGGCTAGTATTGAGTTAATGCTCTGAAGTGTAATCCCACTTTTCTCCTCTGGACTCACCCTGAGCTTTTTCTTATTGAGAGGTCTCTTTTGGAACTTGCTAGTGAGCTGTTATTTCCTTTTTCCCTGAATACTCCTATTTGTTTATTGTGTTAGATTTGCATTAGCTAATGTATTTTTGTTGAGGAGCATACATGTTCCCTTTCTGGTTAACTCAGTACTTCCTCTTTATGATATGTCACTGTCACCTATGAAGTACCTTTTTTGGGTTTTGATCAGTAGATACTTTTGTGGTTATGAGCTGCATAATTAGGCCTTTGTCTTATATTACTATTTTCTTATTTATATTATTTTGGGCGGGTGTGCTGGAATTTGAACCGAGACCGTAGTTTTACTTCCCCTATGTTCTAACCACTAATCCAATAGGATGAAGCTTGTTTTTATTTTCCATAGAACCTTACTCAGTAAGGGTTATAGCTGTCAAATGGCACTATAGCTTATTGAGAAATAGAGAATCCTGATTTACGCTGTTGGGTTTGAAAGATATAACCATGCGGCTGAAAAAGAAGTTGGTTTAATTATTATGGGTTTCATAATGTTATTTAAGGAAACGTTTAATCAAAGAATGAGGAATGGCTGGAGGCATTTGAGTTTGTGAGTCCATGTTGGTCCCTTTCTTTCATGTTCTCCAAGGGGCTAACTGGTTAATCGATTTGATAGTCAGGTTTAAAGTTACTTGTTTCTTCATTTTGATTGGAGGTTCTTCCCTTTCTTAAAGGGCTTAGAGGGCAGCGGCTCAATTTCTTCAATGCTATGCACCTTTTTTTGTTCCTTTCATTCGCAGTTTTATCTCATAATTTGGCCTTTGGATGAATTTATTCCTGATAGATAAATCGTTAGTGTTTATTTCCTGGAGTTTTTTGTTGGGTCATTGAGTTCATCACTCTGGACAACCTTTCCCTCTGTGAGGGGCACTTTGCGTTTGTACTCTGTCCTTTTTATTCCAAGGGTTGGGTTTGTTAGGAGGATCTGGGAACAGGATAGAGGTTTTCTTAGTCATATCATTTACCTAATACTTTTTGGGTGGGTTTTTTTGGCCTTTCTCCTGGTGCCAAGGATTCTGACCACCTGTGATATATTGACAGTCTAGAGATTGTTTGGAGGTCATCCCTAACACAGGGATCCAAGCATTCAATCATTGCCTTGTATGTTGTAACTTCGGAAAAACATCTGGGATTCTGGAGCGTTATGTAGATGTAATTCATGCATTTATGGGTTCATGCTGACAGAATGGCGGCAACTTTCATGGTAAGGCATAATGTCTTGAACATGTGATTGCAAGTAGTCATTCGGGGGACTTGTTGGTAGAGCAATAGTAGAATCTTCAAAGTGTGAGTATCAGCAATGGGTTGCACAAGCAAACAATTGGGACCTCCACAATCATGGGAATTAGTTGAGGTTTTTATATGGAATCATGTTCAATTATTTTGTTCAATAGTGGAGGACGATGTCATTTAGTGGAATAATGCGCTCCACACCAAAGGTGTGGGTGAGAAAGGCACCAATCAGGACTTGAAGCTAAATTCTAGTGAATAACCACTGAGTTTACTTGCACCAATCAGGACTTAAAACCTAGCCTCTACCGTCTTGACCCAAGCACATTTCCTTGCATCAAAGTTCTTTTCCTATATGTAGAACTTGTTTTGGTTCAAGATAACCACTGAGTCAACTTGATTTTTCCAATGGGTGAGTTCTAAAATGAAATACTATGAATGTGCCAAAGTACTTCATGTATCTAATTTTTCTTGTTACCTGACCAATAAATGATTGCATCTAAAAAAAAAAAATTGATCGCATCTAATTTGGAATCATTGTGGTATAATTGGTTGACGAGCTTGGTTCATTCCCATAATTCAAACATACCTATTTTAACTTATCATATAAACGTATGAAGGACTCGCTGAGGTATTTTTATTATACTGTTTGATGGAGTGAGTCGATGGCATCTCCAAGAGTCTTGGCTGTTTTTGAATATGCAGCGTCATTAGCACTGGATAAGGTTCAAATTCGAGGGCAATTATGCGATATTGTTTGGGTCCTTCTATATGGCCACCAGGCTAGTGTTAGACATGGATCTTATGGAGTCTTGGTTCGTAGAGGAATTGCCTTGTCATAGACATAGACATAGACACAGTCAGAGACATGAATCTTCCTTTTTGATTGAGTGGACACATTTACTATGAAACCGAGCATGTATTCATATTTTGATGGAAATTAAGGTATGATTATTTTTTGGAAAGGTAGCCGTCCACATCATGTGGACGTCTGGCAGGTGCACTAGCACCCTTCCACATGGTTGAGATTTCACAAGGCCATATCCAACGGCCCAAAATTAGTCTCATATTTTATTTTTTTATTTTAAACAAGATATTTGGGGTGTAGGTGTATTTTTTTTAATATAACTAAATAAAAATGATTAAAAATAATTTAAATATAAAATGACTAAATTTCATATTAACATCATTTTTAAATAAAAATAAAAATAAAAAACGAAATTCAATTTTGAACCCTTGGATGTGGCTAGTGCAATCTGAACTATTAAAAGGTGCTTGTGCACTTTGTAAGCGTCCACATGCAATACCAACCCTTAATTTTTAAAGGCTAATCTCTACTGCATAGTTTCTAGAAGTAAGTTGTCTGTCCCAACATGCTCAATGAATATGAAACTTTCCTAAATTTTGAAGTTTTCAGTTATGAATGATTGTTGTTTTAAAAAAGAACGCTAGATTTCAAAAAATATATTATTGATATGTACCAAGCATCTAAGCCTATCAAAGATGTTCTTTTCTTTTGTTGTAATCTAGCATTTATGGCCTCATGATATTTTTTTATTTAATCAAAGCCATTTATTATTTGTATTTGACAGATTTTACTTGATTAGGTTCATCATAGATGTGAACAAATAGATCTGATTTAGATTTATTAAGGAATTTTGAATTTTGGAGGATACCTAGTTCTGGCAATATCTATTGCTGCATTTATGGGTATCAAACTATTGGATGCATTCAAAGAATTTCAAATTTAAAGGAATTTCCTCTCAAAATGTGCTTTTCTCTTAGGATTGCCATCACAATGTGTGGGCAGCAGACAATTTCCAAAAAAAAAGGGGGTAGAGAGAAGACTATTGTGTATGTATGTATGTTTGTTTGCATGTCTGTATGTACGTACGTATGTGTGTTTCTGTGCTTATGTGTGTCCACACAGACATGCTTGCACACACGTGTGCAGGTCTGTGTCACCTAATATTTTTTCTTATGGCATGTTGAATGACATCTTGTGAATGTCTGAAACCAACATGCATAGATTCCAGGCAACATGGATTTATTGCAAAGCAGAAGCAGCTCTTATTGACTACTTGGGGAGTGTTCTAGTGACACTCATCTCGATCTCTAATAGTTGAGGCCCATAGGTGGAAAGAAAATGTTTGTAGACAATACTCAATAGTTGTTGATGATCTTTATTACTCTATACTCGTGAGTCATTGCCAGGATCAGTTTGTAATGTGTACTACGATGACCCATTAAAAAAAAAGAGTATGGTTCACTGGGACATCCATATGTCCATTAGTTCCTCAGAAATGGAGGGGGCGGTCTTAGAGGAGTTGATTGGGGTGTCAGTGTGTTAGAATCACTTCAGAGGCTTCTTCAGTTTGGCTGGAAATGAAGTGTTTATTGCTTAGTCCTAACCAGGGAAGTCTTTTGGTATTCTTTTAGGGCCTGTTTATCCGGACACCAAATGCATTTAATTCTACTTTTTATAACAAACTAGTCAGCAAAGTATTCCACAATGTGTTTGTCTACGGTCACTTCAGAGTCCGCCTTGAACCATGCTTTAAATAAGCCCCTCAATCTATTTAATCTCACTAGAAAATTTTTTTTGTGGCCTTTATACACGTTTAATGTTGGTCATAATAAATCAGCTTAGTCAAGCCAAGAACAGAAAAGTTTGTTAGAAAATATAGAAGTATAGGAAGTCAATTATAGAGAAGGAGGTTTTCTGGCCTAAATAGGTTGGCTGCTTGCTATTTTCCATTGAACTTTGTGTTATGTTGTTAATTTTGTAATTGCAATCCTGTTAACCTTTCCTTCAAATTTTTTTTTTGTAATTGCAATCTGAAATATTATTTAAAAAAGTCACTATTGAGGCGATTGGTTGTGAAACTGTGTGTATATGCTATGCAGTTATGCTCATGACTCAAGATTAGTGCACACACATTAGTTATGTAATTTTGGTTTTAAATATCAATATGTATTATGTATTTTAACCTTTTATATAAATTGTCAATCTCAAAATTGGAGGGATGAACAGAAATTTCCTCGAATCTTCAATAGTCATCTATGACTTGTCCCTAATAGTAATTCTCTCTTTTAAGTAACCTACATGTGCATTGAAAGCTCAGAGCTCCATTCTTGTAATTTATTTTATAAATTAAAGAAACCCCAAAATAATTGGTTCATATCTTGTAAATAGGTTGATTTAAACCCTAAAATTTGTTTTCAACTAGAATGTTTTCTCTAATTGCGCAGAATCCTAAAGATTGATGTTAATCTCTAAGACCAATAAAAAAAGATCCTAATCTCCCAAAGAACGGCTGCACCATAGAAAACTCAATAGATATCCTTTAAAATTTGCAAGTTCTCATAAAAACTCCTAGAGTCTTTTGAAAAATTTCTAACGCTTTCGAAGGCTTGTGACTTTTTAATAAATTCCCCCCCTCTTAAAATTGATGACTTTTTACCATGCTTCGACTTTATAGCTACATCTTATACTTGGAGGCCTAAGCTGAAGTCTTAGGCTTTTTGGGCTGAAGCAAAGCGAATATAATATCACCTGTAGGAATTCAAATCCACTTAATATTTTCCCCTCATGTTGCTAATTGAAATGCTTATGAAGTTATGATGAGTGCTTGGTGTAAGATGTAAAAACTATGTAACCTCAATCTGTGAATCGGTTTTGGGACTCACGACTTCCCCATGTTGATTCAGCTTGGTTCGTTCAGGGTTCATGTTGAGCAAAACAAATTGTTTTCAGTTAACTCACAAACTCTTTAAAAGCTCAACGTGTTTGATAAATCTTCTAGGTTTACCATGCTGAAAACAAAAGTGGGTTTTCTCCTCTTTTTTTTTTTTGATGCGAAGCTTTTCTCCTTTTTTTTAAAAAGGTTCCTATAACCTTATCGTAGGGTTTTCTTATTTTTTCTCATAGTTTAGGACCTTAATTTTATTAAGTTTGTTAGCAATCCTCTTTTTTTTGTGAAGATGCATGAAACACTCTGAATCTGAGCCGTGTCTGGTCTCACAAGCATTATCTTTATCATACTCTCTCTCAAAGTATTGGCAAAATTTCAGATGTGGCTTGTGGTTCTTACAAGCTTAATTTCAAATTGTTGTGCACCTTGTACCTACCAATTGCCTATCAATTCAAGCATGGTTCTTACACTTTTTGGTGTTTCCAAACCTCTTGAGGCTTGGTAGTTTTTTCCAGTTCCTTATTTGCGAGACATAAGTACTTGTGTGGGTGTTCTTTTAATCATCATATTTTAACCATATATTGAACGCCTATCTTTGACATAGCTTGTGGTTCTTGGATGCTCAGTTTTCAAATTCCATCCACTTTGTCCCTAACTAGTTAAGCATAGTTCTTACTCTTTTTGGTGTTTCCACACCGTGTGTGGCTTTATACCTTTTTCCAGTTCCTTATTTTGTGAGACTTAAATGCCATATGTGGAGATTCTCTTCATCATAGTTTGATCCATATATTTGCCACCTATCCTGAGTTGGAATTCTGCCTTGTTTTGAAGGGAATGCGTTTCCTTATCTAGTTTTGCATCTGGAAATTACAATATTCCATCTTAGGCTTAAGATTCTACTACAATATTGGGTCACTTTCATCATAGCTATCTGACTTCTATTTGATGTAGTAAACCATGGTTCTTATGATTCTGAAACTTTATATCTCAAGAAAGGAAAATTGTTTCATGCAGGCTAGATCGCATTTCTACAATATGCAGTCCAAAGCTATAAAGCATCCATCTTAAAGATAGATGCAAATAGGTGGTCCATCTTAAAACAATTGTAACTAACAGTCCAATTGTTTTCTTAATATAATTATTATTTCTAGTTTTCAAATTTTTTTTTTTTTTATATTCATGATCTCCGTGTTAAAGATTATATATTCTCTAAAAATTAGGATCAAATTATATTTAAAAAATATATTTATTGCCAAGGCTGCATTTCTACAATATGTGGACTTACCGCATAGAAACCATGTCCCTCAAGAAATTTGCTGTTGACTTTTGAGACATCTGTGTCAGTTACTTTTCTATTGTGAATCTAATGCTACGTGGTACTTGGATGCCCAGATGCTGATTCTAATGTTCTTATAATGACATTAACATTGGATTGTTTATGTAATTGGCTTATCCTTTTTTGTTGTTTTCTTATGGGCACTTTTTGTGCCTTTTTTTTTTTTTTTAATAAGTCACACTATACTTGATTATAGAAAAGGATCTGAGCTAATGAGTCCCTATTGCATGAAACCTCAATGATGGAATGTGCTTCATTTTTTCTTTCTTGCTGTTTATTGAGGTCCTTTGGTATAGGTTCTTGTGGTGTGCCCTATCTATGTGCCTAACTCATCCCATTATCGTTTTAGGATGCAAGCTTTGTGCATGCTTGCCCTGCTAGCATTGGTTGGAGTGGGGGCTTTCATCAAGCAGGTTGCTTTGTTCTAGCCAGATGCTATAGCTTCCCTTTCCATATCTTCCAACATAAGGAAAGATCGTATCATTTCAGAATTTGGGTTATTTGAAAATGGCCAATTGAAGCAGTTTCCCGTCTGCATTGCATGGAAGATTTGTATCTTCAATGTTACTTGGGTTAAGATGTTGATGTGGTATTGTTGGGTTATTGAGCTGTGTAACTAGGGCCTTAGTTTTTGGCTTATGATTCTAGTTGCTGTAACAAATTGTTCTAACTGGCCGGTGTATTCATGAAAAGCTGTATGGGCAGGTCTCAGTTTATCTAGGTTGATTTTTTCTGGAGCCATTCCAGTATGAGTTGTGTAACAAGGTTATAATCTTCTGTTCTTTAAGAGAATAGTTTTGTAACCTTCTATTGTATGAGATACTGTTCCACGTGGAGACATTCCTGCAAGCAATGTTTGAAGAATTAGGTTTTAAAGTTGTAGTAATCTACAGTGGGAAACTAGGGTTCAAGTTGTAATATTTAGGGTCATGAGTTGAGTCTTGTAACCATGTGCAAAAATGTATACTAATGTATGCAATATTCTGACATTTATCATGGAGATGGAAGGGGATCTTGTTATGTAAATTATTTTTGTTTGTTTACATCCTGGATTGGGATTTTGAGTTACATCACATGCACTTCCATGCTGATGTATCCAGTATTCTGATATGTATATAGGAGAAGTGAATCTTTTAATGTAAAAAGTCCTTGTTATGAAGATCCTAGATTGGGGATTTTAGTTTTGGCCATGTGTAGTTGTATCCTGATAAATGGACCATTCTGACATGTATCAAGGAGATGGAGGGGACCTCTTTTATGTGGTATCATTTTTGTTTGTTTGCATCCTTGATTGGGGTTTTGGAGTGTAAGCCACATGCAATTGCATGCTTGATGTATCCGGTATTCTGACATTTATTAAGAGGAAGGGATCTATTCAAACAAAAGTCTTTGTTGTGTACATTCAAGATTTGGGATTTGAGACTTAAACCATATGCAGTTGTATGCTAATGTATGCAGTATTCAGACATGTATAAAGGGGATGGGAGGTGATCTCTTTATGTAAATCATTTTTGTTTGTTTATATCATGGATTGGGCTTTTTGAGTTGAACCACATGCAATTGCATGCTGATGTATCGGGTATTCTGAATGTATCAAAGGGAAGGGAATCTGTTCATGTGAAAGTCTTTGTGATGTGCATCCTAGATTGGGGTTAGAGTCTCAACCATAAGCGGTTGTTTGTTAATGATATGTTGTATCCTAACATGTATTAAGGAGTAGAGGGATGAGATTTCTCCATGTATCCATCTTTGTTATATTGATCCCAGATTAGGGTTGTGTTGTAATCGTCAATTGTACAACATATATGTGGTATTCTGACATGTATCATGGAAAGCAAAATCTCCATGTAATCATTTTTGTTATGTGGATCCTACATTTAAATTAGGGTTGAACTTGTAATCATCAGCAACTGTATGCTGGATGCATCTAGTGTGAGGATATTTATCAAGATGGGAAGATATTTATTAATGCAATCATCCATGTTATCCTGATGCTTTGAGCGCTGAATAGCCTTGTGATTGGGGTTCAGTGTTGATCATTGGTTTCCTGAGTTTGATGTAACGGGCGTCTGATTCTTTTTATTGGGTTTGAGTCTGCTGGTTTTACCATGTATCCTCTACAATGTTGTCAAGAAATTCCAGTGTGTTCTTCGGTCATTTGAGCCTGGATTTGTTTTTGGATTTGAGTATTGAATGACGCATATGATTGTACGAAGCTAATGTAAGCGATGCTGCACACAAGCTGCTGTCATTTGTTAATTGAAGTGATGAGGGGCAGTGTATTGGTTTCTCCTTAGATTTCTTGTGTAGAGCCATTTGAGTATGTAATTACTTTACAAGTGTGTACTTCGGTCATTTGTGCCTGGATTTGTTTTTGGACTAGTTTTGAATTATGCATTTGATTGTATGAAGCTAATGTAAGCGATGTTTCACGCAAGCTGCTGTCTTTTGTTAATTGAAGTGCTGAGGGGGGGCAGTGTATTGGTTTTTCCTTAGATTTCTTGAGTAGAGCCATTTGAGTATGTAATTACTTTACAAGTTTTGTATATTGGTTTGTGAAGTTCTCGTGATATTTGTTGCTCTACATTGGTGTTATGCGTTGCAATTAGATTGCTCTGTTGCTTCTTACTGTTACGCATCGGAGGCTGATTTGATTGAAGTTGATGGTTTTATGTGGCATGAATTTGGGCTTTTAAGGTAGACTAGAAAGAAAAGAAGAGAGATGCAAAAATGTGCCTGATCTAATTTTGTAGTGCATGGTATCTTTCCTCCCTCCCTCATTTTCTATGAAATTTATCCCTAACACTCGGTCACTTATCCAAGTCACTTGCTCACTCACTCCCTCGAATTTCTATGAAATTTCTCTCTTCACTCTATTTTCTATGAAACTTGTTCCTATCACTCATTTACTCATCTATTTTCTATCAAATTCGTGCTGAATTATTTGTTTTTGGGCCTCCTATAAGTTTTGTAAGTATATATATTTTGGATCGAAATACTTGTTTGATGAAATCAAGAAATCAGAATTATGGTTTTTGTTGTATGTTTTTGAATTTTGGCCCACAATTTCTTTAGGGATTTCTGAGACCTGTTTTAGCCACAATCTAAAACATGTTGAGATCGTTTCACATAATATATTTCGATTTTTCATGGTTTTTTTTTAATCAAAATAGTTGGGGTTTTTTGAAAGGTTGCGGTTTGTATATAGCTGAGGCTCTAAACAATCAAAGTGAATTACACCTTCAAATGGTGTCGAGAAATGTGGTTTCAATACATAAATCTGTGTGATAGACTTAAAATGTATTTTCATCTTTAATTATAAAATTTAAAGCTTTAAAAATAGTGTAGATCGTGTAGGTCTATAAAATTTAGAAAGTATTAAAAATTAATGGTCCAAAAATGCATTTTAAGATGTACCATCCATTTTGTTTTCATGCCCATGCATCTTGATGTTGAGATAATATTTGAGTATCCAAACCACCTCGTCTAGTGAAATATTCCAGTGAAATATTTGAGTGGGCTCTAATTTGTTCGTTTAGTACTTCGGCTCTATATAAATTATTTTCTTTTGAAATAATGCTATGTTTTGTAATTTTAATACATGATTTTGTTAGGTTTAAAGGGTTTGGCCCTATCTAAAATAGATATTTCATCATTTAGCTTTTAATATATATAGATTTCAATGTTCGAAAATCATCTTTTATTTTTTGACAACGAAAATGTTTCGGATTTTTGACAAAATGCCATATTTGGATGAGGTGGGGGCAATATATTTCTTGATCGAGCTGTTATTTGTTGATCAACGAGTAGGTTGTGCACATTTTCATGGATTTACAGTTTATTTAAGAGAAACTTTTCATCTAATCTAAAAAACAAAAAGGTTTTTATATGATTGCAACCGTGTATTATACAAGCAAGGTTTACCACAAACATACTGTAGACAGGAGTATTTTGAAGCTAGAAAATTATCCTATTAAATATCTCCACGTCTTTTTTTTGGGTAAGGTTCAGTAGTTTGGGTAAGGTTCAATCGATATCAAGGTATAAATATTATTATAGGAGTAGTCACTAGGCTCTCCTCAGGGCATTGGTAGTGTGCCTGGTAATGAGCATATCTTCAAAGCTCGATTAGAAGATTCCTGGGTACTATATTAGTGGGAATGAAAACTTAGACCGGTAGCTAACACTTAAGAAGATTCTTGGGTATCTAAATTTCCTATATTAGTGAGAATGAAAATTTAGACCGGTAGCTAACACTTAAATGGTACTACCATCATCACCTCAACTCCAGTCCGATTCTTGGGTATCTAAATTTCCTATATTAGTGAGAATGAAAATTTAGACCGGTAGCTAACACTTAAATGGTACTACCATCATCACCTCAACTCCAGTCCCACCGTTAGTGGATATATGTGCGTTATACATAGAGATATAAGAATATATAAAAATTTTTTATGGATGTTAATGAAGACTTTGGCCAAATTTGGACCAAATCATTAACTTATTACATGATTGGGGCACAGAGTTACACATTGTAGGCCAAATGGGTTGGGTCGACCCGTTGACCCGAACCGAGTTTGGGTTCAAATGATTTGAACTTGATCTGGGTGTCCAGCCCAGGTTGGGGTTGACCCGACCCGACCCGGTACATAATACATAAAATATATATATTTTATAATATAAAAATAATATTTTAAAATTTAAAATTTGTGGACCTTGGTTTGAGTCAAGTTTGGGTCCAAATGACTTGGGCCCAACCCAGTCCAGCTTGGGTTTTAGTTCAAATCATTAGGACCCGATCCTATCCAGGTTGGATTCAAGTCCAAGCAGAGCCTGGATGCGTCAGGTCTGGGTTGGGATTGACCTGAGCCGACCCATTGCCACCCCTAACACATTGCTACGGTGAAAGCAACGATAAGGCTGATGCCCTAGGTGCAAGTCAAACGATTTCGATAGTCAATAGAGTTATAGGCTATTGACATTGTGTATAGTTCTTGCAGATATTTGTATAGACGACATTGTGGATAGTTTTAGGCTATTGACATTGTGTTTAGTTCCTGATGAAGCCACGCTCCTTTTTTGATTGGGCCAAAGAAGGGTCGCAAAATCCAAGAGGGAAAGAAATAGTACTGACGTTCTTTGACTGGGCCAAAGATGGGTGGCAGAACCCAAAAGGAAAATAAAAGATAATGACATAATAAGGATAAATTATTAGGATTATTTATTAGGATTATTTTAATTATTCTTTTATTTAAGGAGTGTATATGGATAATTAGCAGGGAGACTTTAGAGTTTATATTGTTTTATCTTGTATGGATTGGGTTAGTTTGAGGGATATAATTAGGATAAGGGTAAATTTAGAAGAGAGTTTATTTTTATCAACAATAATAAAAACTAGGGAGGTTTTTTTTTTCTGGGTAAAACATAAAAAGGAAAACGTGGCTATCTAGAAGCCTATGAATATGAGAGAAAGAAAATAGGGATAGGTGCAGAGAGAAGTTTTTTATTAGTTATCTTATTTTAGTCTATTTAAAGGGACATCTCCTTTCATCATAGATCAGTCTATGAATTGAATAAAAATTGATCTTTTGAAATAGATTGTTTTGGAGGTGGATTCCCTCTCAGACATTTGAGAGATGGTATTTTTCTCTTAACCTTCATTCTTTCTCTTAACCTTCCTTCTTTATTGTCAATTTTTTGGTTTTGATTCTCTCCCTGCATCAGTTCCACACTTACTAATGAAATAGAATCAAGTTACCATTCAAATAAAAACAAAACAAATAAGATATAGAAGAAGAAATAAATACTCAAAGAAGAAATTAATAATATAGTTCGAATATTCTTGTAATGAAATAGACCATTATTTCAAAGAACCAGAGCTTAACAATATTGGAAAAGAAAAATATAGTGGGCATAAATTTTTATAATTAAAAATTTTAAAGCTGATCATAAACCATTTTTTGAAATGTCGAATTTTAAAGTGAATAACGTCTTCATCTATTAACAATTATTCACTAAATGGTTTCCTATTTCGTACTTTTTAAAAAGGATGTGTCAAAATACACTTAATAAATTGACTATTTAACATTTTACCTATTTGTTTTGATTTAGTTTCAAAATACTCATCAAAGTACACGTGCTTTGGAAAAGTTGAAAGGCAGACATATTTTGAAAATTTTCCGCTTTCAAAAATTAATAAGAACTTTTGAAGTATTTAATAATCCATTATATAAATCTAAAAATTTCTTATAAACTAAATTTTAAGGATGATAATTAAATGATATGATAACATTAGCTTTTTTTTACAAATTTTAGAATTTCTTAAAATATAAATTAGTCATAATGTAGTCGAAAATACTAAAAAATTGAATTTGAGAATATAAAATATTTTCAAAATAGTATTATTTTTTGCTAGTAAATACACTATAATTTTTTAAAAGATTTAATAAATCACTATAAAAAGATATTGGAAGTTCATTATAACTACTTTTTAGAAGCATATCATGTGAATTAGTTAATAATGAAAAAAGGATGCATCTATGGGTTTATAACCTATTTATGTGCGCCCCCCCCCCCTCCTTACTAAAATCCATCTTTAAGATGAATTTTTTATCCAAAATTTTAGGGTTTGAGCATCTCTACTGCGACAATGATCATGAATATGGATTTTTTTCTGTTTTGAAAAAAGAAAAACGACACTTCTTAGAATTTTTTCCACCATCAATTTTGATTTTTAGTGGAAGCACTATTTTTTGATGTCCATCTTAGAGATGGACATTTGATACATGAGGAGACTGGTAATAACAGGTGAGTAGGCTTTTCAAAACCATGTCCTTTTAAATTTCCTACTTTTTGTAGAAAAGTGATAATGATTTCCATGAAGCAAATAAAATTTATTAAGATTAGTGGAAATCAGTCAAAATTTATTCTTAGAGAATGAAAATTTTAATCAAAACAACAAAAAGGTCTAGACCATAATTTTTTTTTAATGTCGTAAATAAAATTTAAAAAGCATTTAAAATCGAGAATTAAAACATATAAAAGACTTTTCAAAACTAATTTACTATTTTGTAGCCCAAATAGTATGATCTATTTTAGACATTTCAAAATTCTTAATTTAAATTTGTCGATTAATTTAGTTGTTCGTCACATATTGTAGGCCACGATCTAGTAAAGCAATTCTAGATGAAAACATAACATACATGGATAGTATGCGTCGTTATTTTTTATAACTTTTTCAAAAATCTTCAGTAATTAGGAATAGCCATAATTGAAATTTAAAGCCATGAGAAACTCAAAACTACAAAATAAAAGCACCCATATATGTAATTCCAGACCATAATAAAGGGAAAATATTAAGTAAATGATCAGACCTCATGAAGTTGGTTAAATCAATTATTTTAAAATTTGGATTGTTATTGTTGATTAAATCTTCTTAAATACATGTTATAGTGACCAAATTGCCTCCATTCAAATTTGAGTATCTTGAGGAAGT